CCTAAAATACAATAAATAAATAAATAAATAAATAAATAAATAAATAAATAAGGTCTCCATATTTGGCGGGCCCCCTTGTCTCGTGCCTTGGCCTTCACTCTGGGCTGGGCTAGGTTTCCCCAGGACGCCTCCACGGGGTGCTGTGGGCTTCCTCATGGCATGGCTGCCTCAGGGTGAGCACAGTCACACAGCAGCCAGCCTCCCCTCCTAGAGAGGGTCCAGGCCAACAGTCCTTGTAAAGATCAGGCCTCCTGTTGGCCCTGGCAGGCCTGGGAGAAGGGAGACAGATGGAGCATGAGCTGCACGGGGAAGGGAAGGGCTGTGGGCGTGGGGGGCCGGCCCCACCTGTGCCTGTCTGCTCACCTGCCTCCCGTGTCTCTGCCCACAGACCTGACTGCCATCATTGCTGCTGTGGTGGGAGGTGGAGTCTCGCTGCTTTTCGCCCTCGGGCTCATCATTTGCTGTGTGAAAAAGAAGTAGGTGGATGCTGTCCAGCTGTCATGGCGCCGCCTGGGCTGACTTCATGTCTTCCTTCCTGTGTTCCCCCAAAGCTCGGTGTCAGGCAGCTAAAGGCTTGAGGGGTCCCAGAGTCAGAGAGGAGAGCAAGGCGAGGCTCACTGATGCCCAACCTCCCAAGCCCCAGAGGGCATCGCCACCAGCCCCACGTGGCGTCCGTGTGGAGCCCGTGTGGAGCCCTGGCCCTGCTGCAGGAATTTGGTCTCGCTTTAATTCTGAGCTCTGTGCTCTGTGCTGGCGGCTGCCACGGAGACTGGGCCCCTCTGCTGGAGCTGACCTGTGCTGTCCCCAGCTCAAGCAGGTCAGCCACACCTGCCCTCCTGAGTGTCCCGCTCGACCGTGACATCAGGTGGTCAGAGCTGTGACCCACGGAGACAGGGCAGAGCAGGAGTCAAAGGACAGCACCGGGTGCTGCGGCTGCGTGGCCCAGGCTGACTGGTTTCAGACAGCTGAGCCACCACCATTTCTAATCAGAGAGAAAGGGATCAATTGCCGGGCTCCCCACCATCAGATGCTGTGTGATCTGTCAAAGATAGTTTGGAGAGTCAAGTATGATGCCGTACCCTTGTCATCCCAGCACTCAGGAGGCTAAGTCAGGAAGGTTGCCGTGAGTTCAAGACCAGCTGGGTACAGAGTGAGTTTAAGGCCAGCCTGAAGTATATGGTGAGACCCTGTCTCAAAAAATCAAACGAACTGGGCATGGTGACACATGCCTGTAATCTCAGTACTCTAGAGGCTGAGGTAGGAGGATTGCTATGAGTTCGAGGCCAGCCTGGGCTACATAGTGAGTTGAAGACCAGCCTGAATTACAGAGAAAGGCCTTGTCTCAAAATAAAATCAAAAGAAAAAAAGGCAATGTGAGGGCTTGGGGCCTAGCTCCCTGTTAGAGTGTGCTTAGCGTGTGTAAGACCATGGGTTCAATTCCCAGCACCAAAAAATAAAAAGACAGTTGAGGCACAGATACTGTTTAAAGTCTACACCTAAGACCCAGTATGGTGGTGTACACCTGTGATCCCAGCACTCAGGAAGCTGCGGCAGGAGGATCATTTTGAGTTTGAGACTAGCATGGGCTACAAAGTGGGCTCAAGGACAGCCTGAACTGCATAGGAGGACCCTGTCTCAAAAAAACAACAAAAAATAAAAAAAGTCTACGCCCCCTGCACACCTGCAGTTCCTCACTTTGCATCTTGGAAACTTTGACAGAAGCTGGTCCTTCTAATGTCCACTGGGGACAGTTCCGGTTTGAATATGATTCCAGGGACTTGGGGGATGAGTCGGGCGCCCCACAGAGCCGTGTATGGGGTGGTTCTCTCTGACTCCTATCTCCCTTTTATGCAGGAAGAAAAAGGGGAACAAGGGCCCCGCTGTGGGCGTCTACAATGGTAACATCAACACCCAGATGCCACTACAGCCCAAGAAGTTCCAGAAAGGGCGGAGGGATAATGACTCCCACGTGTACGCGGTCATCGAGGACACCATGGTTTACGGGCACCTGCTGCAGGACTCCGGCGGGTCCTTCCTACAGCCGGAGGTGGATACCTACCGGCCCTTCCAGGGTGCCACAGGCAAGTGCCCACCCAGCCCGCCACCCATGTGCTCCAGGGCGCCCACCACCAAGCTGGCCTCTGAGGAGCCGCCCCCTTGTTTCTCGCCCGAGCCTGAGAGTGAGCCCTACACCTTCTCCCACCCTGGCCCAGTGGCCGGCAGCCACAGGAGCACTCAGGTCCCCTTGCTGGACAGCCAGGAGCCGGGGCCACCGACAGAGTAGCTGATCCCACCAGAGAGGTTTGGTACCCCTTCGCAAGAGGCGCCCAAGGCTTCCTATCCAGCAAGCTCTGAAAGAGGGGTCACGGGGGAGCTGCGGGTTTCCTGGACTCCACCCGAGCCTGCCCCACACCAGACGGATTCTGATCCAGATCCAGATCTGCCAGCACAGGCTGGGGCTGCCCACTTGTCCCGGGTCACCAGAGAGGGGCCACTTCCAGGAGCCCTGGCGAGGTCCCAGCTCCCACTGGGATGACATGAGACAATGGAAATGACAAGGTGCCTTTGTATTATTTATTTGGTGGCCTGCACAGTGGAGAGGTGGAATACATAACCACACGGCTCTTCCTGGGCGGAGTGTCGGCCCTTGCCGGCGCTTCTGCTGGCTGGGTTTTGGCTTCTACCAGTCACCAGATAAAAACTCCCACTTGTCCCCTGTGAGGTGGGAATGATTTGCAACCACGGAGGATATGTGCATGTGGCCACCCCATCGCCGGACTTTATCCCAAGTCCCCATGGCCCTTACTGTTAAAAAGGAGAGAGCTACCCTTGAGTTGGCGACTTTCTCAGCTGCGGCTACGTTGGATACAGAAACGGAGATCCAGAGGATATCAGTGTCCTGTGGAGAGGATGGACTGCACGCCAGAGTCACCAGCTGCGTTGGCTGCTGCGCCACGCTGCCCGGTGGCGTAGTCAGCCCGGACTGTCTGCTCACAGTTCTGGAGCTGAGAAGTCCTGAGGTGGGCTTCCCTAGGCCGACCCCGTGCACGCTGAGGGCAGCAGCACAGAGCAGCGTGTCTGTCCGGCTTCGCCCAGGCCCAGCCCGGTGGCAGCTCCAGTCTTTGTCGCAGAGCAAATCCGAGACAGCCCCACTGTTGGGGCACTGAATGAAGTCCCTTCCTCCACAGAAGGTGCTGCGCCCCCGGCTGGGATAGGTTGCAGGCACTTTGGGGACATTGTCTGCCTGCGCCCTCTCCCCACCTCCGATGTCCTCGGAGAAGCGGAGAGTCGCGCAACCCCTGGGGTGTTTGGAATCATTTTAAGTTACCAACACTTAAAAATCACAAAATATCACAGACAAATCCCAAGCATAAGAGCTGGCTAGCCTGGGCTGAGGTCCACTGGGTGGTAACCTGCTATGGCTGTGCTTCGGGCCGGGTCGTCCAGTCCCGACAGCTCTGTGGTCCCCGCCACGGGGCAGCACACGGGGCGCTGCAGGCCAGTGTCCAGCGGGCATCCTGCTCTGGGAAGATGGGCTCCTCCTTTTTCCTCCCCCTCCTCAAGTTCAGGGTCCCCTGGATGGAGAGGGGTGTGACAGCCTGGTCTCGTCTCTCCAGAAGGGAGAGGATTTGTTGGTTACTCCACCATAGGTGCTGCCTGGCCCTGTCCTTCCTTCTGAAAGACTGGCTCCTGCCCAGTTACCATGAGCTGTGGTAGACTCCTGCAAAGGCGACCGGGGCAGTCACCGTGCGGCCTCCATCTGTCTCCTTGGGCTGCCATGTGCCTTGCTGTCTCTCACAGGGACGCCAGGTGCCATAGGGACCCCAGGTGACTATTTAACTGAGTATGCTAAACCCAGCCTCTCACACCCTGCGCAGGTGTGACAGGGAGGGCCCGACCCAGGCAGCCCAGCTCCTCTTCCATGCGGCAATTCCCTGAGGCCTGTGCCTCCCTTCTACCCCAGGGCCGTGGACACTAGGCTTGGGCCCCTGCTGGAAGGGACATCACCAGGAGGGGCCCCTGGGACAAGCACAGGCCTTGGGACAAGGCTTTGGTGAGGAGTGAAGACTGGGGGGTGCTGCTTGGGGCTGCGAAGCTACCTAGAAATAATTTATTTATGGAGAGACTTTTAAAGTAGCATTTTATTCATTTCCTATGCTTTTTTAAAAAATAAAACAAATACACAAGAGGCATGCGTCTGACATTTGTCCCCAGCCCTGCCCAGTGCCATGACAGGCCACACGTGCTGCCTCCTCCCTTTCCTGGCTTAGGAAGCAGTTGGTTTTGTGCAGAAATGAAAGTGGGGGCTGGAGAGATGGCTCAGTGGTCTAAAGCACCTACTTGGAACAAGCTTAGCAAAGCATCGGGGACCGCGGTTCAATCCCCAGCACCACATGCCAGCCAGCCCCGCCCCCTGGTGGGCTGAGCTGGCCACACACACACACTCTCTCTCTCTCTCTCTCAAATAAAATAAAAAAAATAAAAAAAAAAAAGAGTTAAGTTTAAAAAAAAAAAAAAAAAGAAAGTGACCATCCCAGAATCTCACTGAGAAACTGGCCAGCGGGTGACTCAGTGGCCACAGCCTGTTCTCTTCTGGTTGAGACCACATGAGCCCCTGTGTGACCACACTGGGCATCAGGCCCCAGGACAGTCGCTCCAGACAGGAAGGGGGGGGGCTGGCGATGTGGGGGAACCGCGGAGTTGCCACCCCGACAGCTACCCCGAGGTCCGTCATAACCAGGGCAGGCAGGGCACGCACACCTGTGATCCCAGCACCTGGAGGCTGAGGCAGGAGGGTGGAACGTTGGAGCCCTCCCTGCGCAGCTAGGCCCCTGTTCCTCAACATCAGAAGGTTAGGGGAGTGGTGGCTGGGACATAGCTCAGTGCTGAGGCCCAGGCTCAGTCCCAGGCCTGGGGGAAACAGTAACAATCACCCTTTTATTGCACATCTGCTCCAGCAGGACTGCCCAGGGCTGTTGTGGCTCCCCAGGTGCCCCTCGCCCATGAGCTCACTTCCTGCCCAGTGCAGAGCACTGTGTGGCCTCCAGTGGGGCCGTCACACCAGGCAACTCCACGGATCCCTCCTTCCCTAATGTCACTGACCCCTGCGGCTCATAGCCCAGCACTGGGCGACTGCACCCGACAGCCAGCCGCTCTCACGGCCTCCCGTTCACCCCTCTCAACCTGGGACTCCCTTGCTCTGAAGTCCATGCCTGTAGGTGTGGGGGCCCCAGGACAAACCCTGCGCTCCTGCCTCCACCCTCATCCCCTGCTCCCCCCCCCAGCCCCTTGGCCTCCTCCTCCAGGAAGCCCTGGAGCCCTGTGTCCCTGTACAGCCCTAGGTGGAAGGGCCACAGGGACAGGGTCCTTGGCCTTGGTGGCCACCTGGAAGGTGAGCTCTGCATGTTACAGGCTGGGGGAGAGGGAAGACCGGAGGCCACCGGAGGGAGGAGGCCCCTGCCAGCCCTCGGCCTACCTGCCACGGGCTGTTCTGTGGCTGTGGACACTGACATCACTTCCACAAATGCAGCGCAGCTGCCGGCCACAGCCTGCAACTCAGAAGGGCTGCGCTCCAGGTGGGCCAGTGCCAGCGAGCAATTCTTAAGCATTTTGGTCTATTGAAAGGAGCAGTTAATGCTTAATTTTTTTTTTAACAAATCAGAAAATCTTTTATTGTGAGATCTTTGGGAATACACATTATATATAATGCTTAAAATTTTTTTCTTCTCTTTTTTAATTTCTTGTAACATTTTTTCCTTTTCATTTTACCAATTTGGCATGCTTATATCTGGAAATCTAAACTAATTTGAAGATACACTATACAACAATCATTGTTGAATTCCTATCATTTTGTTTAGTGAAATTCTATATCTTTTTTTTTTATAGGGGTTTTGTATTATCCTTAAATAAAATAATTTTTGAAAAGCAATTCTTAAACATTTCTTAGTGAGGTGAGCCCGCCCCCAGCAGCCCAAAGCTGGAACAGCGGGACCCTGGGGAGGGCTCCTTGGAGGGGCCTTTCCTGCACTGTTCTGTTCTATTTTGTTTATTATGATTTTTTTTTAAATTTTATTTATTTGTGTGTGTGTGTGTGGCCAGCTCAGCCCACCAGGGGGCGGGGCTGGCTGGCATGTGGTGCTGGGGGATTGAACCGCGGTCCCTGGGCTTTGCTAAGCTTGTTCTAAGTAGGTGCTTTAGACCACTGAGCCATCTCACCAGCCCCTATTTTGTTTTGTTTTGTAGGGGTTTGTTTCGTTTTGTGGTTGGCTGGTTGTTTTTGGGTTCTAGAGCCAGGGCCTCACTACGTAGTTCAGGTTTGGCCCTGAACTCACTATACAGTCCAAGCGGCTCTTCATCTTGTAGCAATCCTCCTGCCTCAGTCTCCCAGAGAGCTAGGATTACAGGCCTGCAGCACTGCACCTGGCTCTTTAGTGCTTTTGCAGCCGAACAACAAAAGGATGTAAATGCAGACTCAAGACACACACATGGAGCTGGTGAGATGGCTCAGTGGTCTAAAGCACCTACTTAGAACAAGCTTAGCAAAGCCCAGGGACCGCGGTTCAATCCCCCAGCACCACATGCCAGCCAGCCCTGCCCCCAGGCGGGCTGAGCTGGCCACACACACACACACACACACACAAAATAAATAAATAAAAAAGCAGGACTTGGTTTAAAAAAAAAAAAAAAGACACACACATAGCCTTGGAGTTTAAAAAAACCAGTGTGGTGGCTCATGTCTGTCATTTCAACAGTCTGGGAGGCTGAGGCAGGAGGGTCTCAAATTCAAGTCCATGTGAGCAATTTAGCAATTTAACAAAATCCTGTCAAAACAAACAGAAATGTAAAGTGCTGGGTGTGCGGAACTGTAGCTAAGGGTCCAGGCAGGCCCTTAATCCTCCAGACCACTGAATACACCCACCCGCACACACGCCCACACAAGCACACACACCTTTCTTAGAAGTCCCACTCGTCCTACTCAGCCCTCTATCGTCCCCAGCTCCTATCAGTTTTGATTGCAGCTTGCTGTCTTAAATCCCGGGCAGCCTGTTCACATTCACATGCCTGTAAGTCTTTCACAGTGTGGCTTTGCTCCGAGCATCCCGCGGTGCCACCCCAGATCTAGATATGGCGGAGCTCTTCCGATTTAGTCTGAAAGTGGGCACTTTCCTCACCTCTGCCTTGTTAAGCTGAGACACTTGAAAAGGTATTGCTATTTTTGATAGTTTGGTCCTGTCTTGCATCGTGAAATGTGTCCATTTTAAAATGCTAAGTGAGGGGCTGGTGAGATGGCTCAGTGGTCTAAAGTTCCTTTTTTTTTTTTTGGCAGAATCGAGGCTTGAACTCAGGCCCTTGCACTTGCCAGGCAAGCACTTATTTTACAGAGCTATCTCCCCAGCCCCTGGCTCAGTGGTCTAAAGCACCTACTTAGAACAAGCTTAGCAAAGCACAGGGACCGCGGTTCAATCCCC